AAACTATGCCATTTTTTTTCCTGGAACTGGACTTCTCAACCTCCACAATCACATGGGTCAATTCCTTATAATAAATACTTTTACCTGTCCATGTATCTCTCCATTATTCTATCTATCTATCTATCTATCTATGTACATTCTATTGGTTCTGTTTCTCTGGAGAGTCCTGACTAATAGAATCCCCAAAGACAGTGTGTTCTATGCTAACCTCTGGGTTCTGCCTCTAGTTTGTGCTTATTTTCTTTAGTTTGTTACATATCTGTCTTCCCCTGTGAGCTTCTATATTGGGCACCTTCCTGTTTTTGGTGCCATGAAGTATTCTGCTAGCCTGGTGAAGCTTAAGGACCCTGATCTCAGAATCATGCTTTTGTCTGCATATTATACAATACACAGGTTTACAAAGAAACTTAATTATATTGAAATGCAGTATTAAAATATTAAAAAATAAATTGGAACTGAGAATATGGCTCAGTGTTTGCCGAGCACTTGCCTAGAATGTGTAAGGCCCTGGATTCCATTCCTAAGAGTGGACAAAAAGAAAAAAAAAATTAAATTAAATTGCTCTACAATAATAGGTACTTCATTTTCATATTAAATAACAAAATCCTTTGGCAGACATAATAATTGCCATGATTTTGTAGTAGTGATGAACATAAATGATATTTTGAAGTATTTGTTACATCATCAATGTGATATGTTAATTTCTACCACCTCTCCTGGTGACAAAGTCAGAGATACAGTTAATACTACTGTGGTGTTCTGCCTACATTCATAACTGAATGACATGCTGAATTTCACTTAAAGCTGATAAAAATAAGGGTATAGTTTTCCTCCAATTGAATATCACAGAATCTCTGGATTCTATAGCAGAATACCCCGAGAAGTCTTCTGTTCTTTTATATCAATCTGCTCTTCTCTCAATAGTCCAATATGGACCAGTAGAAAGCAGGTGATACAAAAGTATTTGCAGAGTTTCACTATCATGCAGACATACTGAGTCCAAATTAAGCTGCACTGAGTGGATTTAGGTTGTATTTAAACTTACAATAAAAAAGAGGAAGAGGGGTGGGGATGTGGCTCAAGCGGTAGCGCGCTCGCCTGGCATGCGTGCGGCCCAGGTTCGATCCTCAGCACCACATACAAACAAAGATGTTGTGCCCGCTGAAAACTGAAAAAAAATAAATATCCAAAAAAATTCTCTCTCTCTCTCTCTCTCTCTCTCTCTCTAAAAAAAAAAAAAA